GAGCATCACTGATGGAAGTGAGCATCACTGATGGAAGTGAGCATCACTGATGGAAGTGAGCATCACTGATGGAAGTGAGCATCACTGATGGAAGTGAGCATCACTGATGGAAGTGAGCATCACTGATGGAAGTGAACAAAACTTTTCATTCAAATTGGCCGTTTTCGAAACTGGGGTAACAGGCGAACAGAAACCAGCAGCAAGCAACTGAAAACTGGTATAAACTGTTATAAAAACATTTGGGCATAAATAATAATTGGCATAAACTGTTATATTTCATTTTATGCATTTATACCTATTTGTTGCCGACAACAACAGCTTGATGGCAACAACAACCTTTTTACAACAACATCCCAACAGCAGCCCATCCAAATTTTCGAACATTTCCATGCAATTTGCCCGTTTCCCAAACTGGGGTAACAGGCGAACAGAAACCAGCAGCAAGCAACTGAAAACTGGTATAAACTGTTATAAAAACTTTGGGCCACGAAAAACGTGCCAGTGTGACCATATTGTAAATTTGGTCCAAGTTTCAAACCATTTAGGAGCCGCCGCAAGTTAGCGGGGACTCAAACCTTTTGAATCCAAATTTAGGTGTTATTTTACAACTGCACCTGGGCACACTGAAACTGATCGTCGTTAAATTCAAATTCAAATTTGGCAGTTAAATTCAAACTCAAATTTGGCAGTTAAAATATTTAAAAAAATGTAAAAAATCTTAAAAAAATGTTAAAAATTCAGAAAAAAATTTAAAAATTCAGAAAAAAAGATTCCTATAATTTATTAAAAACCCTCATTTTGTTAAGCTTAGAAAGGGCAACTCAGAACAGCTTTCCAAATTGAATTTCATGCCTTTTTGGCCGAGTTATGAGCTGTTCTGAGTTGCTTTTTCCAAGCTTAACAAAACTGCTTACTTAAAAATTTTATGAAAATCGGACGGCAATAAGATAGCTGCCATAGGAACGATCGGAAAATGAATAGGAAAAAAATTATAACTTCGTTGTTTTTCAACATATTCTTATCTACTTTTAGATATGAGATTCTTTTATTATTTCAGAATATTGGTAAAAATTTTATGAAAATCGGACAACTATATCATATAGCTGCCATAGGAGCGATCGGTAGATGTAGAGAATATGTAAAGGTGTGAATGTAAAACTGTAACTGTCAAACTGTAAACATAATAAGTATAGGTAAAATGTAATGAAATAATATCTGCAAGGGTATACAAACTTCGGCGTGCCGAAGTTAGCTTCCTTTCTTGTTTATATTAAAAAACTTCTTGATTTTTTTTTAATTAAAAATATTATAACTCGGTCAAAAGAGCATTAATTTTAAATTGGAAAACTGTTCTGTGCAAGATTTTTTACAGGTAATAAATCTGCATACTTCATTTAAAAATGTTTAAAATTCAATTTTTTATCAAAATTACAAATTTTAATGATGTAACCCCTTATAAAATTTTGCAAAAATGGCCAAAAAATCGATTTCTTCCTGACATATCTAGAAAGATTCCCCTGTTGATGTTGATCAAGAATATATATGGTTTATTGGGTCGTAAACGTCTCCTTCACTGCGTTGCAAACTTCTGACTGAAATTATAATACCCTGCAAGGGTATAAATATTATTATATTCAGGTTTCCTCTGCTTTCATTTATTACAAAATATAAATTAATAATAATAATAAAGTTAAAACTTAAAAAAGAAGATAATTAAATTTAAATGACGCAATCAGCCGTAGTTTCCCTGCCTAGACAGTTTCCCTAATGCATCCCTTAGGACACCCATAACCTCCTTTTTTATGGACCCTTGGAATTTAAAAAATGTTTAGTTTAACACCCATTCAAACTTATTAAATCCTCATTATTTATGGCCATTTGGTTTAAGCGAAAGAGAAGAGAACAACAGTTTATGAAGCTCAAATCTAGAGCATATGGGTCCAGAGGACGACGTGTGCTGAAAGACTTCTTCCTGCCCTGCTTGGCCTGTTTCCCAAAGTCTGGATTTCGCTGGCCGTCGTCGCCTTGACCAGTCATGAATATAAATTATGCCCTAAGTGACAGGAGGAGGCTGCTGCCGTTGTTATGGCTAAACAATCATAAAGAACACCCGGCCCGAATTGTTTTCAGATCTTTTATACATAGTTGTTGGCAAGGCGAAAGGCGAGAGTTTGGGGAAAAATATGAAAACATAATTCAGAATGTTTTTTTATTAACTGTTAAAAGATTTCGGGGCTAGTGGGATCTGAGAGGTTTTAAATTTTTGAGGAGGAGGTTAGGTATGCTCTAAATAACTTTAAAGGGGTTTTAAATAATGGTTTTGGTAGTGTTAAGTAAATAGTGTTTTGTTTTAAGAATGTATATTATGTATTATTTATAAATAATTGTATATTGAATATAGGCTGCACTTAATTCGAGGCGAATAGCACACTTTTAGGCTGTATCAAATGTGTTGGCAAGTGATTTTAATTTTCTAGCGATAAACACAAAATTAATATATATTTAGAAATGTGTATTTCTCTGAGTTTATGAATATATGTTTGAAATATATGAGTTATAATTTTTTTTAATTTAATTTAATTTTGATAAGGTTGTTCATAAGGTTTTGATCTTTGATCTCTGGCTAACAAAAGCTTGTTGGTATGACACTGGAATCAGGCGGTTTAACTTTTACATTTTAATTTTTAGTTTTTTAATGCGTTGTTTTCTTAAATTTAGGATTTTATTATTTATTTTATTATTTATATTATTTAATCATAAATTGAACCCATTTATTAAAATTATTATTCTTAAAAGAGTCGTTCAGAAAATAGATTCGCTTACAAGATATGAATTAATACTTGAATAAACCAAACACTTTCTTTAAAGAACACAAAAAAATAGTTTAAAATTGTAAATTAAAGCTCCTTAAAATTGTTATAAAATAAGAAAGGAAGCTTCGACAGGACAAAGTCTTAATACCTTCGTAGTTAGTTATTGAATTTTATATAGGGTTTCAATCAATACAACCCGTAGTTTCTGAAAATGAATCATATCTAAAAGTATATTCAAATATGTTAAAAAACTACAAAGCTATAATTTTTCTTTATTAATTTCCCGAGTGTTGCTATGTGCCACAATCTAAACTTAATCCAAACTATACCAAATTTTTGGCACTTTCGCCCAAAATATGCACAAATATATGTTCTCCAGGTTAATCGGCCAAAAGACTGTCAAATTACACCGGTTGAGAGACATAATTGGCCCCAGGGTAACAGAGATTTTTATGTTTGTATTTCTCGGTCTTGAGTTTTGGGTTTCAGCTTCATTGGCCAATCCAATGGGGCCGAAAAAAAGGCCTAGCCTCTAATTAACCCTTTCGCAATTGCAGAGCCCAGCTTAGGCCCTAAAATGGCCCGGGGGGCGGGAGTGTGCGCTTCGATTTTAGTTATAAAAAGAGAGAAAAGAAAAAAATAAACTAAACGTGGGCACCTTGGGAGTTTTAGGTTTTGATTAATGAGCGGCTTAAGTGAATCTCGAGTCGGCGGCGCAGCGAATCTCTGGCGAGCCTGTTCGACTGATGAAGTCACTAATTTGACTTAAAAACGCATTAAAAACCATTTTCGATAAGAGCTCCCCTTCCCAATGCGTGATTTCGGCCAAGGGTTTTCCCGTACTTTCCTGGCCGTCTCGCGGTCTAGGTCGTATTTGTGAAAGTTGTGCAAAAAAAAACAAAAAATGTAATCCAAAAAGGCCAACAAACAAAAACAAATACAGAAAAAAACCAAAATTAAACGAAGAAACCAGCAAGGCGACGAATAAAATTCCCAAAAAAACGCCTCGAAAGATTTGAGAGTGCAAAGCTCTTGCTTTATGGGACATTGCCTATTGGCAATCAGCTGTGAACATAAATAATGGCAGAGATTTTTGAAATGAACTAGGAAGATACCCTTTATATGTGGGTTAGGGAAGCTGTTGGATTTTTATGGGAATTTTTTGAATTGAAAATATCGTTGTTTATTGAAATTATAAGAATAAAAATATAGTTTAGAATCCTATTAATATTTTAGAATCATAACCTTTACTTTTTGTATAGGCCAGCTTCTGATTAATTTCTAATTTAACTATTTATCTTATTGAAGTACTCAAAAATATATTAAAAACAAACAAAATTACCTTAGAAAAGTCCTACGTAAATCTTTATAATTCTTACAATATTTCTTACAATATTTTTTCAATCCCATATCTTTGCGAATTAATCTACACCTTAACAGATCTACCCCCTGCTTAAATATTATATATTTTTCCCTTTAGCTTTGGCTACGCACATAAATTGATTTAAATGCCTTCCGAGCAGAGACAAAAGATGGCCAGCAAAGGCTGGCAGGTAACTCCTACAATTGTGCGTGGTCTTGGCCATTAAAAGACTTTTTTTTTCCTGCTCTTGCTTGCCAATATGCCAATGTCTGGGCCAAAAAAAGCAACGGCAACGGCAGCCGTCACAAAAAAATACAAATCTGAGACAGATAAAAGCTGTTAAATGACCTTCATTGGCCATAAAAATCCAAAATCATCGCCCCGAACAATGAATCGTTTCTATGGGCCAAAACCCGCACAGCACCGCACCGCGCCGCCTCGGGCAAAAAATTAACAATTTAAATAAATTCACTTTATTGCAGTTTCGCATATTGGCGACAATGTAAAACAAACAATAAAGGTTGTCAATAAATAAGGCCCGGCTCATTGTCTGCCCCGCATCGCTCGACTTCCGGTCTTGATTCGGGGGTAAAATCGCAAGCCGATGTGATATTATGCTATATGAATCACTACACAAAGTTCAAAGTTGAGCGCGGTTTTAAATTGAGAGATTAGCCCTCAGCCGGCATTACTCTTTGCTTCGATTTTGGATTTTTTTTTAACTTTAAAACACACACGCTCGCAGAGCTCTCACTTGTGGGCCCAGAGCTCGGCTCGGCTAGCCTGGCTTAGACCGCTGCTCAGTTGGCTACGAGCTGCTGCCGTGAGCATTGGCTAACGCGAGAAACGGAACAAAGAAAAAAAATATACAAAATATACAAAAAAGAAGTCGAAAATCAAAAACCGAAACCGAAATTGTATCCACCGCGTTGCTCTTCGGTACGTGTTAAGTTTTTTAATTAGTAGAATTTTCAAGTGAATTGTGTGGCCAAAATAAACACACAGCAAAAGAGAAAATAATTCAGCAAAAATAAATAAATATACAAAATAAAAAGGCAAACAAGTGCAGTGACAAAAAAGTTCAGTTAATGGTGAACCGAAAGCTAAAACAAAAGCTAAAGCCAGACAAAACACAAAGCTGGTGAGTAATTAATAAAGCGAATAATTTAATCTACTCTCGCTGGCCTGCCATAAATTAATAAATTTAATTAATCTGTCATCGCAGCGGGTCTGATTTATTATAACATCGATATATATACCACCTTCATGTATATATGTTTCCGTCTGTAACCGAAATGTTAAGAAACCAACCAAGATAAATGAAATCAAGGCGCTCACAAAACAAAATCCACAAAATGCAGACAACACTTTTGGGTACAAAATAAAAACAAAATGCATATAAAAATGGGTAGTAACCTTGAAAAGTCGTGCTTAATTTCTCAGCTAAACTCAGCAGGCATTAAATATATGTTTAAAAAATTATAATGAAGTTGTATTAGCTATTTGGCATCTATTGTTTTATTCCTTAACTAAATTGATATCAAACTGAGATGCTTTTGGATGGTTATCAGGGTAAATTCCTATAAAAACAAAGAGGAAATCATTAAGAAAAGGCAAACTAATTCAATTTATTTATTTTAAACAATTTTTAAGACTCTTTAGCCTTTTGTTTTACATTTAGTCATGAATAAAGAGCTTAAATCAAAAATTAAAATTGAGAAAAAAGTAAATTCCCAAGAATAAAAACCTCTAAAAACATTCAAGTATTATATTTTATTATTAAGGAAACATTTTAATTAGCCGCATAATTAATTAACCGCATTTCAAGTTCAGCTTTTTTTTATTCCGCAAATATTTCAATTAGCCAACAGATTCGTAGTTCCAATCTCGTGAATAAGTGAGCAGAATGTCTGGCTGCCCGACGAGACAAAGATAAAGATCCCACAATCGATCATTACTCAGACGACCCAAACATATAATCAATTAAATATAGCTATATGACTTTTTTTTTTTTTTGTGGCCAAATCATTCAAATAAATTGAATAGGGCCCGGCGATTTTGAGCACTCAATTTGGGGGACCGGGCCAAAAACGATGCCGCGGCCAATGGATTAGCCCAAGCCAAGATCTTTAACAATTTCATTAACTTTTTTGGCCCGAACGGCCTAATCATGTGCAAATGGCCCCAAACACACCATAAAACACACTCGCACTAAAAGATTGCTAAGACTTTTGGCCTGTCTCCGACTTTACCAACTTCTTTTTCGGCCACATTTTATGATTTATGAGGTGATCGCGCCTGGCGCAACATTTGGCCCAGTCGGGGAAATACCATTAATACGTGGGTGTAGCCAATGTGCAAGACACCATTAGCAGCATCGCCAAAAGCCAAACACTAAGCTGTGTTTCATGCACTGAAAAGGAAAAAGGGTACAAATGTTTTAGGTATTTTTAATTTCTTCAAAGCTTTAGAAGGTGGTTTTAATTTAAACATTTTTCTTGTCGGTCTGAAGTATCCATACTTAGCTATATTTTACTTAAATTTAAATGTTATTTAATCTTTCTAATTTCAACTCAAACAATTTTAAAACCAATTTTAAAACCTTTTATAAATTTTAAAAATTTCCAACAATTTTAAAACCAATTTTAAAACCCTTTATTAATTTAAAAAAATTTCAAACAATTTTAAAACTTGGAAAACTTAACTCAAATAGGAAATTCAATAATGAACCTTATTTTTTAAATTTTAATATGTGCTCTTATTCATATTTTGCACAAACAATAATCTACTTATTTCTTTATAATACTCAGCATAATAACTTGATCTGCACTTACCTATCAATCATCTATATATTTTTTTATATCCAAGCTCTCTAATTGTTTTCTGTGTACTTTACCTAGACACTTTGTCATTGGCGCTTGATTGTTGACTGATTTGTTTGCTTGAAACTGGCCAAAAGAGCCTGTGATCCCGGAAATCCTATCGTTGCTCGTGGCAGGTGTTTTTTTCTTTTTTTTTTTCTATGAGCATAAATTCTTAAGAATTCTTTTAACAACTTGCTGTTTTTACTGGCCGCCAATGACATGCTATTAATTGTTGAATTGTTGTTGCTGCTGGCTGGTGTTTGTTCTATAAATAATTGTGTTATACATTTTTTATAATAAAAAACTAAAGCAAAGCTTGACACGAAATCCGGTTATTACCATTGAGAGTGTGACAGCTTTTGATTTGATCACTTGTAGCAGCAGAGTATTAGCACAATTGAGCATTATATTTGGGATTTTTTCCCTCTAATGAGTGCTTATTATTTAGCTTAACACTTTATTAAAATTTTAAATTATTTAAATTCAGTGGGAATGTTATGTGAAAGCTTTTAATTTAATTATAAATAATACATTGATGCATGAACATAAACTTAAAATATTTTAAAATATTAATAGTAAGGGTTACATATTAAATATATAACCTTTAGTAAAGTATTTTTGTTTTTAGAGTTCTGCCTGTGATTAATGTTAATTACTTGTTCCATTTTATTGTTATAAAATACTCATTTGTTGATTGATCCGTTGTAAAGGCTTGCTCGAAATGCTAATATGTCATTAGTGTTAATGAAAATGATGGGAAGGTTTTACTTTAATTGCTACTAATTTGTTATATTAAGCACAAATTTTCACAATATATTTTCTACACCTTAAAACCACAATAAAAAACGTTTAAAAATATTTAGAGCTTATGAATAATCTTCCCAAAGTTATATGTTATATTTAAAGTAATATATAATAAATATATTATAAAAAGACTTTTTGTAAATTAATAAATTATTATTTTAAAAAGGTACTTTACATTTTAACAATATCAAAAAATCCATCTAAAAATTAACTGGGAAAGTTCCACTTTTTTTCAACCGATTGCCGGCCGTTGATAGCCGGTTTAAGAACGCTAATAAATCATTAGAGTTTATAAATATTGTCATTAGCCGACAGCTAGCTCTCGGGTTGCCAATTGAGAACGCCCCCGTCAGTGGCTGTGGGCGTGACCAGTCCATTATCTGCGGTGGCGTATACTTAATCTACGTATACTTAATCTCGTTGTCGTTGTCTTGCGGCTGCTCGTCACTTTCACTTTTGGCAATTTATTTTCGCTATTTACGGCAGTTGTTCGAGCTGTTTTCTGTGTTGTGTTTGCCTTGTGTATTGTCTGCTGTCGGTGCCGTGTTGGTTGGTGTTTATGTTATTGTTTTAGTTACCGATTGTTTGGCTTAACAATAAGCTCAAGTGAACTCCGTGTCGAGTTTTGGGTCATAAAGGCAGGCGAACAAACACTTGGGACATTTCCTGTGCGCGGAAAAGCCAACAGGAAAATTAGTTTTTTTCTGTTTTCTGAGGGGTGTCACTCTGTGGAAATGGTGTGAAAAGTGTTAAGCACTTGCCATTTGTTTTTACGTATTTTGGTCAAAATGACACTAGTATAAGTTGTTTATTAGTAGTTATTAGTAGTTTTTATTTAAACTAATTATGCAATGTTAAACGGAGAGACGGTTTGTTTGCGGAAAATTTTACTTCGGAAATTATTTTAAAAACGAAATAAATAAGGTTTTTTTTTAAGGGAATTGAAAAACGCATCTTTAGGTGGCATATTCTTAGTTTTAAGATTTCCAAAAAATGTTATTAATGGCTTTCTCTTTCTCTTTCTTTTCAGATTAAAGACATTTGCTGAATCGCAAGCGAGTCGAATGCAAATGCAAATCGACGGCGAATGAATTGACAATGACAAAGAGTATTAAATGGTCGCCCGCTTTTAGTTGTAACCGCGTTCTCCTTACCTATGTGGTGAGTACTTTAACTGATTTATTTCTTAAAATTTAAAGAAGCATAAAATACCGATGGTATTCCCCAGATATTAGCTTATACAGTAGCAGCACACAGCTCGCCCCCGCCATGCGGCCTATACGGAGCGCCGCCTTGCCAATTTCTACCGGCGCCACCAGGCCAAACTCCCAGCTGTGCCAGGCCAGGAAAGACATATTGCGAGCATGCTGATAATTATCCCACGTAAGTAGGAAATAATGTTTATATTATTTCAAGTTTTAAGAGGTCTGTGATTACTACATATTATTTTATAAAAATATATAACAAGGGGTTCTACTCATAGAGCTTCACAAAAGTCTCTAGAGATTTCAGTTTTCTTTTATATCAATTTAAAACAAGAAAGAAAGCTAACTTTGGCCAGCCAAAGTTTGTATACCCTTGCAGGTAACAATTAAAATATATCATAACTAAGCCAAAAATGCATTAATTTCGATTCGGAAAGCAGTTTTGGGTTAGTTTTTATTAATTTAAAAAAACTGCATACCAAATTTAAAATTTTAAGAAATCAAAATTTTTGGCCATTTTTGCTAATTTTAATGATGTAACCCCTTATCAAATTTCGCAAAAATGGCCAAAAAATCGATTTCTTCCGGACATATCTAGAAAGATTCCCCTGTTGATGCTGATTAAGAATATATATGGGGGTCGGAAATGATTCCTTGACTTAGAAAAATATTAATTTGTATTATAAAATATTATAGAATCTGATTAAAAATATCATAACTCGGCCAAAAGAGCAATTATTTTAAATCGGAAAACTGTTCTGTGCAAGATTTTCTACAGTTAATAAATCATTTAATCAAGAATATATATGGTTTATGGGGTCGGAAACGTCTCCTTCACTGCGTTGCAAACTTCTGACTGAAATTATAATACCCTGCAAATTGTATTATAATACCCTGGTATAACAATAGAAGTATAATGTTGCCACCTTTTTAAAGACCTTTGAGTTTCCCAAATACCCACAAATATAATTTATAAATGATTGAATTTAATGAAGACCAGATACCTGAAAGTTTCAAAGATAATCTAACCAAAATACAACATCATTATTAGCTTATCTGTGGTGTCGAGTTTATGCAGACCAAAAAAAAAACCAAGTCCGCTGCAAAAATATCAGCCGTCCAATCAATTTCCACTTCATTCGACTTCGACTGCATTTCAAACAAATGTTTGTTTCGGCCACGAGACAATTTCGGCTTCAATCTGAATTCGCTATCGAAATCGAAACTTGTTCGCATTAGCATAGCGTGGAGTGTCTATTGTGGCTGCTTCCGCGATGATGCTCGGAGCTACTCAGAGATACTCAGATACTCAGATACTGAGATACTCGATGCTTGGCTCTCGCCACTCAACTCTCAGCCAGCTGGGGGAATTCCTTGACCCAATAAACTTGAATTGACAGTTCAAGACACTTTGTGTTTGGCTCCGGCTCCACTACTACTACTACCACAAACAAAACTTTGGCGACGACGATGCCGAGAGATACGAAAATTCAGAAATCCAACGACGACGGCTGACCGCGTGCTTCTCGAATATTTATGAATGCCTCCAATGAATAATCGTGTCTTCGGGGCATCATAAGTTGCCCAGACCGGCACTTGGCGCGTGAGCTAGGGTATTGCGGATATTCCTAAATATTTGTTCAAGATTTAAATATGAATATTTGTTTGTTATTTGTTTTTTAGCTACAAATATTTAAAAATTTAAAAGTAGTGCAAAAAAGTTATGGAATATGTTATTTTTTACTTTGCAGAGCAGTTTTAATAAACTTATATATTTTATAAATTAATTTTAACATTAAAAATACCAGAAATTAAATTAATTTGATGTCTTAAATATTTGTTTTTATTAAAAGAAATTTTTTGTAAATTTTTTTAGCTAAATAAAATTATTTAGAAAATGTAGAAGCATGACCAATTTTATTTTTATTATATTCAAACAGTAATTATTATGATAGCCAGGCTGTGATAAAGTACTGGGCTCGGCCAAATGCGGTTTGATTAATGAATCATTAATTAAACCATGAAGAGAAATTAATAAAGGCAAAATAATTGCAATATTAAGGACTTAGTCATTAGCTTTATCAGTATTTTAATTGAGTGATATCAGAGGTTAACTTAATTTCATTAAAAACAATAATATAGAAAATTAAGAAACATATTTTAAATTAAAAAAGAAATGATTTCCAATTTTAAGAAACATTAAAAGAATTCTATAAACATTTTAAGCTATCCTTAACCCACTGAAAACCCCTTTAAAAAACCTAATACCCAAGCTCTTACTTGATATAAAATACCCTAAATATTTTTAAAATATCTTTAAAAATTACATTTATATTTTTCTTTGACAAAAGAGCATTTAATTTTCCCCAAATCGAGCTCCAAACTGCATCTTTTGTCTTACGTGCTCCCAAAGATGGCACTCGAATTTGTTGTTTTGTTTGTTTGTTTATCAACCATCCGCCTTCGCTGGACTGGTTAGCCATGTTTTTGTGGCTGCTATTTTTAGAGAATTTCTTCAATCTTTTTTTTTTTTTTTATTTAAATAAAATGTGCGTTAGGGCGGTAATGGTAATGCGAATGGGCTTGTGATAAGCCCTCGGCGCCGTCGGGGCAATTAAATAGGCATTTTTATTACAAGGCTTGCATTGGAATTTCTGTGCGTTGCATAATTCTCAAAAAAAAAGATATCATATGGGAAAGCCCAAAGCTGGTTTTAACCATAGGTGTGCCCTCCTCACCTTTCTCTGCCTGTGTTTTTCACGGCAGCACGTGACGGGCATGCGATTCGCGTTGATAAGCGAAACAATATTATTTCGGCGGAACTGCCAATTTATTATTTACGATGTCTGCACCTACCAATTCGGAGGCTTTTTTCTGGCCTGCCCCGAAGCCGCATATTAATTATGATACTCATATTTGATTTGGCTTGAGCAACACCGCAATTACCATTTCCATGACGGCGATTTCCAGGCACTTGTCAGTCAGTCAGTCAGTCGGTCGGTGTGTGACTTGCATAAGTCCCCTGATGCGCAGACAAGTGCATGATATTCGCTTTCCCAGCTTGTTAATCATCGTGGCTTGCATCACTCATTGTTTCCTTTTCGTACGCAGAAAAAGTTGAGAGGGAAAATCAGGTCATTTTCCTACCTGTGATTAAGAGATACAAGCTGAGAGAGTAAGTAAAAGTAAATAGTAAATATCTCTTATAATTGGGATAATCAAGAACGATTTTCTACAGACAAATGTAAATTCTTTAAATTTTAGTTTTTTAATAATATTTATTAACCATAAATTCATACCTTTAGCATAAATATAACTGTATGTATGCATAAATTTAATAAATATAACAAAACGTCATTTTATTTTGTTTAAATAAATATAAATGCTAGGCTATAAACATTTATTGTGATCTCTATGGTGTTTTAATGAATATCCATTTGATTATTAGTTCTTCGTTCATCATTTAAGATATATTTTTATTGCTTTGCCATGAATATTCATTGGATTATTTGCGAAATTTGTGGTATACGTTTGCAGGGTATTATCATCATTTTAGTTAGAAGTTCGTTACGCAAGGAAGGGAGTCATATTGCAAATATTAATATTAAATCTAAACAAATTACAAAATTAAGAGGTCTTAGAAAAATAAGGACAACATTTTATGTTATATATTTTTTTATTTTTTAAAATGTTGTTACAGCTTATAGAATATTTCCCAGAATTTTCCTTCACGTTTTATTTAAAACTCTTTACTGTTAATTATATATTTCCCCTTGTTAAGGTATCTCATCAAGAGCCTCGTTCGCAAGTGGGGCTATGAGGCAGCCACTCTCTTGGTGGATGAAACCTGGGAGGATTTCGCGGCTGTGGCGTGGCACGACACCCCCGTCTTTTACGATCCTAAGTCCATATTCCCGCCACGCGATCCCAATGGTCAGGACTTTAATGGTTACAGCTATCAGACGCCATTTGGAGGCAGTCCCCAGCGACCAAGTGGCGGTGGTAATTCTCTATTTGTCAGCAGTCCATCGACGGAGGCACCAACGTGAGTATTAAGCAACAAAAGAAATAATAAAATAGTTTACTGATACCCCCTTAATCCCTCAGGTATCTCTTGTACACCTCCTCCGGTGGAGGCCATCGTCCAAATGGTCGGTACAATCCCCCAGGAGGCACCTCCTCCTCCTCTGTCGCCGGTGGTTTGTACTTCAATCAAGGTGGCAAATCCACGCCGTACAATGCCACACTTTGGCTCAAGCGTTTGGTGAGGGATCTAAGTCGAAAGCAGAGGCAGATCGGTGAGGAAGAAGTAGAGGAGGAAGTGGTAGAGCAGGAGGATGAGCAAGCGGAGGAGGAGGAGGAACCTGATCAGGATCAGGATCAGGCTCAAGAGCACGTGCAAAGCAAGCGCGACGTCTCGCTCAACATGGATCTCTTGGATATCGTGAGCGTGGATGCCCCCAATCCCTATAACCAGCTGAAGAAGCGCACCAAGCGCCAAAGTCCCGGCCGTTCCACGCTCTGCCAGACCACGTCGCAGTTCATCACGCCGCAGGCAGCCCTCAACAGTCGGGGCAACTGGATGTTCGTGGTCAATGAGCAGAACACTGCCCGCCAGATGGTCAAGGCGGAGCTGTGCGCGTAAGTATTACCACAAGTCTTGGGTTTAATTAAGAAATTTATAGGGTGCCAGGATTGCTTATTCTTAATCAGGAAAATGGTTTAGGAAGGGATGCTCTATTGAATTTTCATAATTTTTTGTAGACAATTTGTTAAGTGGAATATTTACCAATTGGTAGAATTATTTATTTTGAAATAATTAGGGAAGATTTTAAATTCCATACAATTTTTTATGTTCTAGATTTTGTATGTATATTCTATATTTATATACATTTTACACAAGCAGTTCACTGCTTGATGTATTCTTAGTTTAGACTCAAACCTTATGTAAACTGTATTGATGTAAAATGTATTGATGTAAATTCAAAAGTGTTGTTTTATCATTTTTCCATTTAAATCAAATATTTAGAAATATAAAAAAAAAATTCTAAAAAATATTATTCGACTTTAAATAAGACTTTGTAAAATTAATAGTACCCTCACAGGAAATATTTTTGATATAACAAAGAAGAATCTTAAGTTACGAGAAGAAATATATTTTATAATTTACCTTCCATACCTTATTTAAATTTTTAACGGATTTTGAAAAGAGATTCCTTAACTTAGGCCTTTCTTTTAATAGTTTTAATCTTCATTTCAAGAGATACAATATATAATTGTTCCATTTTCACTTAGATTCTTCCTTTAAATATTGAATTTTAAAATACTTCCTTTTTAAACGAAAAAATTGGTTTAAAAATAATAAGGTTTAAATAAATTACAGCTTAAATTTATAAATATATAAATTCCATTGCACAAATAAAAGTGTTAGAACTTCTAATAATCCAGTTTACTTTCAATTCGATTGCACCCCTTGCAGTCCACGTCCACTCTAATTTGTATGCCATTGTATCATTTATTTTTTTTCTCTATTCTTCACGTTTCATAAATCATAACTCTAATTATTTGGCAGCATTAGAAGAGGGGGATAAGCCGGTTGACTTGTGCAGCGCGTCCTTGAAGTAGCTTCATTCCCACTCATTATTTTGAAACCTTCGGTGGAAATACACACACCCCTGGCCGGTCGGGGTCGCCTTTCGGCACTTGTAATCAGTGGCGAGGTGTTCCGTCAACCCCATTCCGGCGTTAATAATTCGCAGCGGGACGTTTGACGACGACGAGAAGGTTTCCCCCTTCAATATTATTATTTTTTTTTTTTTATATTTGTGACTAGGGGAATTCCCCTGCCTGGATTTCCTTCCTTCTCGTGGGCACGTGGGTAGTTGCAGGTCGAACTAAGGCCCGTTTATTCGGTGTCATAATTGCGGTTAAACGAATTATCACACCCCGAAAATGAGAGAGAGAAAAATACCGAAGCAGGGCGCTGGAGATGCCATTAGGCCATGTCCTTGTCCCCCTCCTGTTTTACGCGTCCTTCCCCTTTTTATTTTTTTGTATTTATATGCGATGCGTGCGCTACTCGAAAAACCTTTCCACACTCTTCAAAAAAAAAAAAGAGCAAACACAAATGGGGAGGGGTTTCTGTTTCTGTTCCCGTTTCTGGTTCCTCTGCTTCCTGTGATCCTTTGGGCTGGGTCAACGCATTGCCCTAATTGTCCTTTGGCTCTGCCCCTGTACCCCTCTGTTGCTGCCACTTGTTGGACTGAGTCCGGTACTTGGCGCAATTTGTTTAACCAAATGGAGGACCTACGCAGGCGCGCATAAATCTTGGCCAAAAAAGAACAGCTGGGAGCAGATGGACACGGAGAAAAAACAAGTAAATTAAGTTGAACTTTTTGGGAATTCATAAAAAAGGAAATATATTTAAGGATATAAAATAGATCTAGAAAAAGAAATATTGATCGATCGATTCTTAATAGAATTCGAAGTTTTAAAGTCAACTTACTATCCTCGCAGTGCAGTGATTGTACCGTTGCTTCCGCTCAACCAGCAACTCCTTATCAATTACGTACGATTCCCGTTTTAACGAGTTCGTTAAACTTTCAACTCTGCTCCTTCTGCGACTCGGGATCTTGGGTTTCCCCTCCTTACTTTTTTTTTTGGAGTCGCAGATGGGTGCGTAACACCTTATTTATGTTGGCAGCCCACAACTAAATTCGCCGCAATTGTTGATTTTACCTTACTGAAATTCGAAATTCGATTCGACTCGATTCGATGCCGTTTGCATTCTTACCTTTCTTTCAGCTCGAACACCTGCTCGAACCTGTGCGAATTGCCCAACGGCTACAACTCGAGATGCGAGCAGAAGTTTGTGCAAAAACGCTTAATTGCGCTCCAGGGCAATGGGCAGAATCTGTACACGGACACGTTCTGGTTTCCCAGTTGCTGTGTCTGCACGATAGCCGCCAATTAAATGTGTCTCGTCCAGGATATTATCTTTTTGAAGTCTCCTATCGCTCTGGACAGGACATCATCATCTCTCTGTCAGCGGCTGGCGATTTTTGCAAATTCATTTCTGATAACTAAACGATACACACAACACACCACAAAACACAACAAACCACACACACACACAACAACAACACCACTCTCTCATGTAGTTACACACACAAACACACACAATGTAGTTCTTAAAAATGTAATTTAAATCGGAAAACATCGAGTGAGGCATGCTAAATTGGATTTCATGCCACGCAAATCCCTTTCAGTTTTGTTTAGTGGAACTAGCGTTACCCTGTGCGAGCGATTAAAATGTATATCAAATAAACAATGATTCGAGAGACGATGTTTTCTTTAAAACTTACAAGATGAAAGTTGGTTTTAATTTAATTGATTTTTTAGAGGTTGATAATAGGGGTATTTCAAGGTATTTATCAAGGGTAAGTAGTCATTAAAATAAGCTAGAAAATGTTATTAATATTTAAATTAAATTAAAAGAGTAATAGTTTTATTTAGAGCTGCTTTTTCCCCTTAAAAATATCCTCTTAGCTAACACTATTAATTATTTAAATCACAATAAATCCCCTCTTAAATATATAAATTATCCTAGACAATTATTCACACATTCTTATCTATCTTAAAATCGCACTTCATCGCTTTTAACTTAATTAAATTATAATACATAAATTAAAACCAAGGCTTGACCATTTATAAATCAAGTTATTCCAGGCCAATCATCATTCCATAAATCTCAATTCTCATCTGCCATCATTTCCATCTCCCACAGTATTGTAAACACACATAATGACACTCGGCAAAGGAAGATATTTTGTACACAACAATTTAATTGAGCCCCCCGGGCATAGAGTGCAAATCGGATTTTGTGGTTTTTAATTAATATGGTTATTCCTTTTTGGCCCCAAAAGGACAATTCGCAACTTTTAATTGTGAAATTGTGGAATTGCGAAATGTGAATTTCCAGCTAGAGTTGCTGCTGCAACAACACCTGCCTGCTGCCTGCTGCAAATGCAATTGCGTTCCATAAATCCAGAAACAATAATCGTAAAATAACATCAGGTGTCACGCGCACGGAATCGCGGCTCAAAAAAGGGGGCCACTTCATGCGAGGACCTCTGTGCGGGGGAAACGGTTCTCGGAGGATATGGAAACGGAGCAGGAGTAGCCTTGCCTGGATGCATTGATGGTCGATGCTATAACCCGATGATGTATGCCCCGGCATATGTATATTTGTGTGGCACTAAAACAGCTCCAGATGGCCGCAGTTGGTGACAGGATATAGGAAGGCATAGCAGCAGCAGCTGAGGCTTCAAAGTCACCAAATAATTATGGTTTTTATAGATTTGAAAGAAGAGGAAGTTCTGGGATTTTGTGAAGTATTTTCTTGGCTAATTCTTAGATTTTTGAGTTATAAAAATAAGTAAAGAGATAAAACTAAAATAGGTTCCAAAATATTTTTAAAAATTAATCAGAAATATACAAAAGTATCCTTTGATTTAAAGAACTTAAGAGATTCCGAAACTAATACTTAACATTTCATTTACAGTCTTAAACAGCTCTCTGTCTCTTTAAGATCTACCAATATAATCCTATTTCTTTAAAGTGCTCTACTTTTTTATAAAAACGCTTTTAAATCGGGGTCAGTGGATGGTCTCCCCTTGCACTTTAATAAGTGCACATCGTAAATAAATATAGCTTAGCTATTTTGCCATTTCGAAGGAATAGCCACGTGAAATTCAGGTTGCTGGGAGAACCCTCCACAACTCAGCTTTGGTTATATCATAAGCAATTCCTCTATATATGTATGTACGTATGTCCCAGGTGACATGATAAATAAATAGAGAACATTTTCTGCCAGGTTGTGCAATATTCCACCGCATTGCATAACTAAGCAAAGAAATAACAAATGTATTGATAAGTCAGAGTTCGAGTTCCGAGTCCGAGTCCGAGTTAGCATTGGCCGAAAATCTCAATTAAGCCGAAGGAGCAACAGCCTCGTTCTCGTCCTGTGTCCTGTGCTTTGTACCTGTTGTAGAAATTCAGCTGCCAGCGATTCAAACTGGCACAGTGGGACGGAACCCCGAAACCCACCCACCGAGCTCTCTATTGAGACTCATCTCACACCCCGTGACTCTGTCGAGGGTTAATTTGTGTCCTGCCGAAGGATATTTTGAAAGAGGGACAGAGAGAAAGAGATCGAGAAAGAGAGAGGGGGATTGGTGTATTGTGCAGAGTTTTAGCAATGATTAGCATCACGAAATGGAAAACTATTGTTCCAATACGCAGTCGAGGAACCAGGTAAAAGGCATTGACAAATCAGGTAAGAATGCAGTCACAAAACAGAAATCAGAAAAAATAACAAAACATGAGGAAGGTAAGGGAAAGGGAATTGAAAAGGTATAAATTGTTGCAATTAAAGTTTAAGGATTGAAAAGTCATAAATGAAGAGAATATGTTACCGAATGAGGCTTGGATGGATTTAAATTTATAAAAACTAAAAAATTTAGTAAGTAAAATTGTAAATTATATATTAATATAATATTTGAACTTATTTAACAAATAAATTTATAAAAATTAATTTTCCAAAATAGAACCAAACCCAAAGTGGGCTCCTAGGGGAAACTTTCAACTTTTCAGGCTGCAACAACCATCCACAGGCTCCTCTAAGGACGGTCAATGTCCAGATCCTGATCCCCCCACCCCTGCCTGCTTAGCCCCCTGCTGACCAAAAAAATTCACCTCTCTCCTCCTTGAACCTCCTGAAAACCCCCGTAAAAATCGAGCAGCTGAAATTTTCTGCCAAGACCAACAAACAGAAAGAGAGGGCAGCAATTGGCGGCTGCCTGGCAACTGAGAGATGTGAAAGAGATGGCCTGCTACATGCTGCAGAATGAGGCACAAAAACAACAACAAGAACAGCCACACAGCAAACACACACACACACACACAATGCAGCAGCAGCAGCAGCAGTGCTGCCAGCGTCGCTGCGTTGTGTATAAAAATTTAACATCTGCTCCTTTCATGATTTCGGAAAACTCAAAACTCGTACAACAACGACGAGGGCTGTAATGGCACAAATATATAAATATGTGAGTATATTGGTCTCTCTATCCCTCTCATTCTGCACTGAGAAGAATTTTTAGCAATTTATGGGTGATAAAATTTAGTTCACTGTATTTCTATAGCCAATTAATAATTAAATAATAAATAGGTATATATAATATATATTTATATCTTTAAAAGCATAAGCTTCTTTTTTTTCTTAAATATTTTTCGGCCCTAAAATATTTACTTTAAATAATTTTATAATATATAGTTAATTTATAATTTCAAGGAAATGTAAGGCAAGTTATAATAAAGAATTTATGAATATTTAAAATGGATGTAAAAGAATTGTAGAAAAATGTCTGAAAATGAAAATAGTTTCTTATGAATTGGGTTTATCTATAATTATTTTTTTAACTGTAAATGTTGCAAGTATATTTTGAATCAAATCCGAAATTCTCAAAAATCTTAATAATAACCACAAATAATTACAAATTTCTCTCAGTGCATAGCTATACACCTCTCTTTTTCGCACGCTGTATGTGCGTGCTTAGCAGCTTGTTGTTGCTGTTAATGCATTTGGCTTGCTTTACTCGTATTACGTGCATTTGCCGCTTTCAGATACGCAGATACGCAGATACTCGGATGCTCGGATACTCGATGCCGAAAGATACTCGGATGCGGAGATACTCCTCGGCTGCAGATACTAAGAAAGAAGCTGCCAACTGGCAGATCTTAAGCGGAATGAAATAAATTAAAGTCAAAGCGAAGAAGATGCAGCATCCGCAGGATACCTTGGTCCTTTTTGCTTTTTCTGCTGCGATGCATCCACTGGTGCATTCAACTTCAGCGCCAGATTTTTTACTTTTCTCTCTGACTACTCCTTGCCCTTGGAGAGGAGCTCTGATTTTAATGGGCAGGGGTAAATTTAATCGATCGGAGAGTTGGTTACACTGAACAAAATATAAAAAAAATTGAATAATAATAAAGCTGGCTTTTATGTTTAAAGTTTAAGCTTACTTTAAAATTATTTTTAAGGAAATAAATCTGAAAAGTTTAATCAAATTAGTATCCTCTCAATAAGATAATTATTTTTCATGGTATTTAAAAATAGTTTACATAAAAATACAATTTTTCTATTAATAAAGGAAGCAGCTGAACAGATTCTAGTTAAATTTTTATCGTTTTTATGTATTTAAAATATTTATACATAATTTTACCATAAATTTTGGTAAAATTTCAATTTAAAAATGACCATAACTCAGCCAAAAGTCATTAATTTTAATTCGGAAAGCTGTTCTGAGTTAGTTTTTATAGGGCTTAAAAATCTGCATACCGAATTTAATAATTTACAAAATCAAAATTATTTCCAATTTTTGAACATTTTAACGATGTAACCCCTTATCAATTTTTGAAAAAATTAAAAAAAAAATTGTTTTCTTTCTAATGCGGCTAAAAAGACTCTCCTGTTGAAGCTTACCAAGAATATATATGATTTATGGGGTCGGAAATGAATCCTTCACTGCATTCTGACTGAAAATATAATATTCTGGAAGGATATAAACAGTAAACAAGATACATTTAAAAATGTTATTAAGTCCTTTAGAAATTCCCCTCACTATTACGCTTGTTTTTTTCTATTATAATAAGAGCAAAAAATCATTAAGGAACTCTTTTTATTTAAAGTGTATTTAAATATTAATTTTATTAAATTTCTTGGTGTATTTCTTATCTTTTTGTTGCTATTTTTGGTGCACATTTTATTCATTTTTCAAATACTTTAACAGCACCAACTGTCAGATACATTTCTGGTTTCCTTTGCCGTCCTTCTTTTGTATTGTGGCTGCTTGCAATGTGAATGTCCTTTGCTGTCCTCACAAAGGACACGCAGAAAGCGAATAAGCAAGGAGACTGAGAGAGAGAGAGAGAGAGAGAGAGGTGAAAAAGTAAAAAAAAAAGAGCAGAATGCACACGAGAAATCGCAGTTAAGTGAGTTTGAGACAGCTTTCTAGTATCAAGGACCATGGATCGCGAACATAAGACCATCTAGGAACCCAAAGTCAATTCTATTTGTGCAGATGGTCCTATCCTGTCCTGTCCCGCCTGCAGCTCAATTCCCGGGAATTTTTTCACGAATGGGACAGGTCAGTGTCTCGCACAAGGGATAGGGGTTTGTTTTCGTAGCCCACTATGGATGGATGTATTTCCATTACGCAAAACGCAAATAGCGCCAGTATTTCTCTTATTGTTTTGTTATTTTTTCTGTCAGCG